GTATAACCGACATGCTAAAATTCAGAGAATTACAACGTCACTTTACACTAGGAAAACTATGAGCTGAATGTGGCCTAGATAGCATCACCAGACGTAACATGCTAGGGCTACAACCTCCGGACCTTATATTTTATGACAAGTGACTTTGTGAGCACATGCCCTTATGCAGTCCAGAAATTAAGACAGCTGTAACGTCTATGTATGGCATACGTAATCACAAACCGGTAGCTGGAACTGGGTGTTGGGATCAACCTGAAGGGTAGTTTCTTCCCAATGAATTCCCATCTAGATTAGGCTTCCTGAGGAAATATGTGGCGCCAGTTCATAGACAGTTTTAGGCTCACCATTTAACAACCCCCCCACAGATGATGGGCCCGTCACTTGCCTAGCCACTACACATGTTTCCTCGCCCAGTGAGAGTATACTGGGACCTTCAAGTGTGTAAAATAATGTTATAATCACTCTCAAGTACCTTTCATACTGATGAGCTTACGAGTGGCCGCAAGGAGCGCATGATTAACAGTTTGCCTTAAAGCACCATGCGGTTAGCAAGGGACTAGACTAAAAGTACCTGATGCACATTCAGTTTTCCCTTCATGTACGCTGACAAACACTGCACACCTAAAAACTTGTACGAATCTCAGGTAAGTAAAACAGTAGGGTCATTTTTGTGCACATAACTTAAGGTATACATATAACGGGAATGAGTCCAGAAAGATAGGAACTTCTCTCTTTCAGCCTGTCTCGCCGGGTCTAAAATTCTCCCTCTTCTGCCCGCGCTTTCGTTTTCATCCTTTCTTCCACATTAACTTGAGGAAAACAGTTTAACCACAATTTCGGTCGAAAAATACCAACTTTATGGGATTATTTTAGCATCTTGCATTAGGAATTGTCGAAAGAATTCTAAGAATGATAGCGGACTAGAATTTAACCAGGATAAATGCCGAACCATGTCCCTACGCACCCCCCCCCCGACGCACGGAAAGTACCCAACTTTGTTTTGGAGCACGGCAACGCCCTCAAGATGCCTAAAAATGCCTGGATATCTCTGTCAAGCCCCCACAGAGGATCAAAGCATGTCAAATGCTAGAGAAAAACCATGTGATCACGCGTATGAGGCCTAGACTGGTAAAGCACTCCCTAGAAGAATGCAGAATTTCCCGAGGCCGTCAAGAAATGCGCATAAATAGTTAATTTTTGTACATATTCCACTGAACAGTAAACCCTTGTCATTTTTCTATTTCTTTTCTGTCCTCTATGAACCCACAGACTGTCAAGAGTCAATTTTAAGGTTATTGTTTGACTTTCCTACACTGCCACTAAGAAAGACCTGGGACTAATGCCGACTAACAAGGTGGACGTCTGCCCCAATTATCTTGTAAGTGCCCCGGGGCCTGCGCAGTACTGCAGTTCAAGTGCATGTGACCAGGTGCCTCACCCTAGAACTCCTCCTGAAGCTGTACAATGCCTACATGCCACCTCGCCTAGATGCCCGAGACGCCGTTGCACCACCATATGCGAAAAAAAATGTGGACCACCGAGAGAAAGTTCAGGGGCGATTGACGTAGGGTGTTGTTGTGGTGGGGCGAAAACCCTGTGAGGATAAGCTGAAAGACCCAGGCCCCTACTTTCTTAGTCACCACAGGTTACGTCGTGACTTGAAAACAGCCTGCAAAGTGCCAGGTAATCCAAGTCATCCGAATAGTTGAATCCTGCCGAACAGCCACTGTGGCCACCGCTGTGGTTACTCAAGTAGATCACCTACCGAGGGGTAAAAAGCGGTTCACTTTATCATATTTTCTCCTCTCAGGCTCGTGGCCACTACAACCTATTACCTAAGGAGATTGTGACCGACTTGTTTGCCGACAGCTTCAAGAAGAAGTTGGACGTCTACGCGGTGAAGCCTGGCTTGGACGTATCGAGCTGGGATACAGACTAAGCTGATACAACCAACTAGTTCCGCACGATCCAGCACAGTCAACCCTATACCGATTCCTTTGTACCGCTATTTTCATCGTGAACTTGACCTATCCTTGTGATTCCCTGCTCGACGTCCCCTCCGGCTACCATACCGCCGCCAATAACATTGTTAGTCTTATTCCCATAGTCCGACCCATAATCTTAGTTTTACTTTCCCTTCCTTCTGGCAGAAATAGTTTTTTCGAAACATCTTCCCATTTTCTGAAAGGTTCCACAGTAAGCAAACCCATGTATCAACGCCCGGAATGCTGCTGTGTGCGAAATCTTGACTGTGATGACCGTTTTCAGGTTTCTAGACGGTCAAATGCCGGCGGAAGCCTGGATAAACAACTAACTTTCGCAGATCAGTTTACCCATTGACCATGAGGGCAACTTATGTGCAACGATGCCAAGCAACGGACGTTTCTGGTAACTTATCCTATGTGACATCATCAAATCGAAAACAGTTGACGGCGCATGTACTCCCTGATAGTTCCAAATACTTGCACGTAAAATCCATCGCCATTCGATGAAAGTTCATCGAGTGCTTATTCTTCTGCACCACGATCGTTTCTAATGGAACAAGTCTGTACTGCTGAGAAAGGCAACGTTCGAAGGGTGAGAAGTGCTTAAATTTAGATATCGACTCGGATTACATGATTATATGAGCATTAACTGATCCTAAAAATCTTTAAAGTGACATCCTTTCGGGTGGTGAAGCCATAAGCACAAAAACTGGTATTAAAATAGGTGTTTGTCTGGTTAAACATTGAACTGTGCAAACATGTCGGCTATTTAAAACTCGAACATCGAAAACTACATGACTTTCATGCCGCCCACAGATGGAGAAAATGCATGAAAATGATCTAAACTCATAAAAATCTCATGGGTACTGAAAGGTGATATTTCTCGTTCGTTTCGTAACTTGCAGACACCTTTGATTTTATGTTACAGATTACTGTCAGTCCTTCTCTAACACTTGGGAACCCTAGAGTGCCGTACTTTTCTTGGCCATTACCAACGTTATTATGCCTGTAAACTGGCTTCTCTAATGTTAAACCCACTATGTGAGAATGAAAGTATTCATCTATTCACTTGATTTCTAGTAGCATTCATATGTTTTACTCCAACACTAAAACTTGCCTCGACACTGTTGTTCCATTGGAAGGGTTCAAAAAATGCCAGCAAACAAAAAGCCATATATACCTCCCACCGCTCGTAGAAAGTTACGCAACTAGAATTCAATGCACTTCGGTTGATTCTTGGCATTCATAACTCTATGTCACATAACCATGCTTTGCATTTGAAGGATGAGAGTAGTGCACTAGCTAGCTCACTTAGAATATATGCCCTCTCAGCACTCCTCAAGAAGCGATCGAATTGCACAGGACATAACATTCCTCTTCTTATCCATGGTACCAAAGCTTATAATAATCCAGTGGATGTGTGTGAAATATTCAGCCACTCATTCGCAGTTGATCATCTGGGACCTCAAAATTTTTCGTATGATACTAATACGGTCAGCACTGTCAAAAGCCATCCTTCTCCTCCAATAACGATAATAGATACGGTTGAATTCACATATTCTAACATTCGCCAAGCCATTAGGGTGCTAAAATGCTCCGGCAGCGGTGGCACAGACGGAGAATCAATACATTTCCTTGAATTTGGCGTCCCAGCTATTCCATTATTACTACTTAGAATATCTTCCCCATCTTTGGGATCTTACACATGCCCTGATATCTGGAAAACATCACTGATCCTGCTTAGATATAAATGTGGTTCAAAAACACTATTATCATTTTAAAAGGTCAGACCGACCTTCGCAACGAACGCGTGTAGAACATCGTATTAAGCTACCTATCCAAGGTTTTAGTGACCATCCAGCCAAGGTTTATCTACATGGATCGACTGTGAGTGATGCTGAAGATGGTAATCACATTGAAATTCATTTCAGGAAATGTCTGACATAGAGACTAAGATGCTCTGAAGCTTAAAGCCCTGAATGGACAACAGCGCACGGCAGCTATCAACTCGTGAGTTAGTGTTGCTGGATACAGGTTCTTTCTGAGAGCAGAAGAATCACAAAACACGTGGGGTGTTGTAACATGCTCATTTGCACACTTGCCTGTCTTGAAAAACGACCACCACCTCTGATCACGTCAAAAACCAGCGTGGTCTATCTAAACTGTTTGTGTCGCCATCCCCCACTTACCTCACCTTTTCTATGCATGACAGTAACAAGAACGACCTAATATCTACTGATACTGGTTAGTTCTTAAGTGAAAGGGATGAACATCAAACGTACTACAACGGGTTTTACAGCGCTTCCTTGAAAACAGGTTTCTGAGGAATATTTTGAAACCAACAACTGATGCGTCATAAATACAAGGAACTCTCTCATTCGTGTGAACACACCTCAAATGCATCCAAATTTTTTGGCTTGCGAGTTTAGATCTGCAGAATAAGAGGGATGAATACAAAAGCTATGCTGTTAACAGAACAGTAGACTGTTGCTAACTAGATTGTTCCAAACAGATTCCCCCATTACCATATCTTGTTCATAGCCACAGCATTCGTCTGGCTGGCTAGTCTCTAAAGTAGTGAAAGTTACCCTGAATATCCTTAGAGAGTAGACTTGACTACATCATTCTCCCAGTCATGTGGTAGTAGTCGCCAACCGAACAACGGACCAGGTATGCCCATCACAAGCTCTCAGAATCATACCACCTGCAGTTCACTCAACTCGGCTGACTCCGCTGCATCAAGAAAGTGTAAATTACCCAAATTCTGTATACACCGACGCTCTTGGAGTCTAAAACCCTTGCACCTGTGCTTTCTTTGCAGAAATTGCACTTACTTAAAATTCCCGGTTAAAGGCGTACAGTAATGAAGAAGGGGAAGCTGAGAATATTTCTGGTTGAATTACAATTAATTTGAAGACTGTACTGAAGCATTGTTATGTTGCGCTAAACCTTGCTTACAGGTTTCGCACTATTTTGAACTTCACTTTACCCGGATGACCTTGGCCGTCCTCAAGGATGGGGTTTGTTAAACCGATTCCCAATGTTTTATTCTATTCTTTGCGCGCTATGACAAATGTCTGTATGATAAAGTTTTAAATATTCATTTTTGGGGAGTCAGTATTTCTTCTCCCTTTTTTCCTGTCCTTATGTGCATGTAAATATATGTACATAACTACATACATGTAGAGACAGAAAAACAATTCAAAAATATGTAGATAATTAATTCCCCTATTTTAATTATTCTGATTTAGTTATATTAGCTGTGATGGAACCAACACCCGATCATTAGTGTGGGCATTAATTGCTGTGTATGTACACTTTATAAAGTGTACAGAAAAGGTATACCTTTTACAATTTTACCGTTCCTAATTTTCGGTTGTTTTCTGAGTGCCCTTTAATACATCATCTTTCTGTATGTGTAAATAAGTGCGTTTAGACCAACTAACTAAAAGTGAAGGAGAGAGTGTAGGAAATTTTGATAAACTTCAGGTAAAATCTCTAGTATATTGCATATACCACGATGTAACACATACGCACATACAGTAAGCAAACAAGAACTCTGAATCAAATGTAACAGTGGTTGGTAAAAGGCACTGAAATATCAAATATGACGGAAAAAAGATTCGAAAGGATTGTAGCGTCATACACCTCCACAAAATCAATAGCCTAAGGTTTGACGACTTCGACATTGATGCTGACCTTGATAGTTTAACTGGACTCGCTAAGCTGAAGGCACCCGGTCAAGCATCCTCGCCATTTGGCACGCTGTCGTGTTACGTTGCATTGCTCGTATTCGACTCTCTAGCCAGTTAGTTGGAACGCATCGGTATTTTGGCATAACCATCCAAATATACTATTCCATCCGACTACGCTATCGTGTTCTTCCTTGGTCTCGTATTCGTGGGTATATAACAAGTTCGAATAATTAGTGATTGGTCTTTGCGTCTGTCAAGTTCGCACCAGGACAAATCCTAAAGGATGATGAAACCAATTGTAAAAATAGAATAAACATTACATTACATAAGGAACCGTTACCAATCGGCTGAAATGCTAGCTTCTTACATAAAGCTCAGTAACTATGCTAGTATTTGGCTTATAATAATACTAAGGTATTTGTCCACGACAATATAGCAGTAGTGAGTGAAAATGAAATAATGATGTAGTCAATATATCACATATCACTAAATATTCAATCTAATCACCACTTCCTCTATGCAGAGGCTTCTTTCTACTAACTTGAATCACATAAGCCTCTAAAAATGCTAGCTTTTTTTAAACTGTCAACTTATGGTAAAGAGCTTAACCATAATGTATCACGCCCAAAGACCACTGAATGCTTCCACAAGCATATTCAGATCGCTAAATCTATGTTAAATAATCGAATGTAGACACCTCTACTCTGGAATACTGTGATATCCATTTGATGGAGCTAATTAAAATGGATGTAACTACATATTAATCTCGCTCTATGGCACTGTCTAGTTTTGGTTTAACGACTACGCAAGTCATCTTTGAATGGTGAATCAGAGTTTACTGACTTTCCTTGAGTTGTGAAGATTAAGTTTTGTCTTCTATGCTTTTTAAGTTTGTATCGGGAAAAAATGATTTTGATTTCTGATGTGCAGATTCTAATATACGAGTAGTTAACAAGGAATCACTAGAGTACTTCCACGGTTTTCGAAATAAATATAAGTAATAATTGAAATAAAGGATGGAATAGCAACATTTTAAGGCGTTGGATTTAAATGGAAATTGTGAAGAGAAGAGCGAAAGAATGGTTGGCATATAAATCTGTACGAATCATCGGTCATCATGGAAGCGCGAGTCTGAATATTAATCTGATAATTTGTAGGATTAACCTGAGTCTAAAACTTCGTAATGCAATCGTTCCACATATCTACTTGTTCTCCATAGTCTTGACTAACTACGTTAATACTGTTTTCTGCAAACCACTCGTTTAACTTAAAATCAATTAAACTGCCGTGTTATAAACACAATTCAGCCAAGTTTTCTAGTACTTAATTTATACAGTTTTATTGGTTTCCATCTCAATCTCCAACGTCATTCTACTTTAACCTACTAACATTGGAGATTTTAATCGTTTTGTCATTTGGAGTTACTGTATTTTAATGGGAGAGCTATCTCTGTCATTCTGAAACCACGTGTACTGGGTAAATTAACAAAATCAAAAAAGTCTTGTGCGCTTCTGTGCCTTAGACAATAAGCCACATATATCGTGTAAAAGTTAATGGTACTACAAGGCTGCCGAAACCTCGGTAGATGAAGCGTTGTTCAGACTTGTGACTCACTGGTTGAAAGTTAACACTCTTAACCAACAAGCCACAACACTGCAAATTAACACTTTTAATGCTTATACTACAGTAGAGAACAGACTACAGGGGATTTCGACCCGGATACTGTAAAGCCTCGCTGGTGATATGTACTTTATCTCAAAATATATTTTTAAAAACTAGTTTTTTAGTTTTAAAAATGCAGATAGAAAAAAACATCAAATTAGAACCTCGCACACAAGTGCATCGGTTCAAATTGCCAAACTTCACACTAACATGTTAAGAATAAATTGACAGAAAAAGAATGATATCAGAGTAGAAAAGGTGCGTGGGATGCAAACAAATTTTGAGGCAAAGGTTGGTGAAGATAGTCATACTTTGTAAGATTTCACAAAATGAATATATCTGCCCCATTGTGACCGATTTCAAGTCATGTCACCAAGAATCCCTAAATGCTGATTCCTATCAGCTCTGGAACCTCGATCAGGCAGCCTACATTTGCCACATGTCTCAGACCAGCACTCATAGAATCCATGAACTGGTGCCATATCTTGGCCTGGCCACCGTGATCCTACTTCAACCAGCATTGCTTGTCAAGGTAGGCAGAAGCACAGCATGCGAAGTACATGTCCAAGCCATAGTCACTGAGAGTTTACAACCCCATCGACCGACTGGCTTGTCTTGCTTAGTACCTTTCACCTAACCTTTACATTGCTCACCAGATGATTTCAACATACACGAGCTATGCTACGTAAATACATATTGTTAAAAACATGTAGTCTGCATATCTTTTACTTTTTATGGAGGTTTTGGATCCATAGAACGGGACAAAATGGACGTCGCACAGTATCCTCGTCCTTCAACAGGCATTTTAATTTTTCGGCAGTTGGCATCAGAGATTTGTAAAGTTCCGAAAGGCCTTCTGTATCCGAGCTAAAATTTCGTCAACAGCCAGCCCATTTGGGATGACGCAACCCACTAAATAAGTGAAGTGGTCAACGTATTTCACAACTTCACTCCCTATCATTAAACTGGAAGTAATTGCAGATCACTCTTAGAGCATCATCTTACATTTGACAGGTCCAAAATGTATAATAAAGGCTCAGAAGATCCTACATTTTGTCAGCGTCTCTGCCTAACAGGACAATATCGTCTGCATAATGCAAGTCAAGCAGATGCCCTCCAGGGAGCATATCAATCCCCGTAAAGACTGAGGTATCTAAAGTTATGTTCATTAGTAAATCTATAACGAGACTAGACAAAAGTGGTAGCAAAGCGCATTGCTAACGGACACCACTAGTTGTTCTCACTCCAGATGAAAACTCTCCATGAGGCCCTACAAGTCTGTGTGAGTTTGAGCAAAGAGCTTTGATAAGCATTATATACTTGCCCGGTACTCCCTTCACAGTCATACACTGCCACAAATCTGATCGATGCACCCTGGTTCATATCTGTTTAAAACCTGTCTGGCTTTCTCGTGTTTGCCGTTCTCGTGCTGCAGTTGGGTGTCAGATATCTATGAACCCAAGGATCTTGGACAGGATTTGATCGAATTAATTCCTCTGCTTTTGTCAGAAGACCTCCTCCTTTATAGACCGAAATGATCAGTAAAGTATAACAGTCTATCCGGACTGCCTCTGATTTCCATACACTATCTAGTAACTCCTTTGCTTTACGAAGTTACTTCCTATATCCATCCATAAAGTCCTTTGGTGGCAAACCGTCAGACCCTGCAGCTTTGCATCTTTACAGGTTTGAAACAGTTTTCTCAACTTCGATAACAGTTGGAGGACAGACAACTTCGTCCCACTGAGGTTCAGGCTGGATACTGAGCAGCTGAACTGGGCCTCAAAGTGTTCTATACAACATTGTAGCCGTCTGTCCTGAGAAGTTATCAGGTTACTATCCTTGTTGGCGATAGCCTCACTAAACGTCTTCTTACCGGTATCCTTAATATAAGCCCAAATAATTGACGGGTATTACCCAACGCTGATGCTTCCTCCATCTCCCTTGCTTTCGCCACCCACCGTCGCTCGCGGTCATTGCGAAAACTCTTAGTTAACTTACGTTCCAGCTACTTTTGCTCCTATTTGTGGTCAAAGCCAGCTGAAATGGGTCCTCTCTCATCAATAATTTCGGATGACCGTGAAGAAATCCCCTCGCTTTTGCTAACCTTGGGATGTAAGTTACCAACTGCCTTTACCGCTGTTCCTACCGCAGACTGGTCTTACTCCAGGCTTCATCAAGAGAAGAACTGATGCTACGTTCAGATAAATAATTCTCAGTCTTCTCTCTAAATGGACACTTGGTATTCTCATCTAATCGATAACACACAACCTGCTCCCTGCTTTCTGAAACCAGTAAGGTGCAGACATACGTGTCTGTAGTAACTTGTGATCGAAGTCCATACAGGCACTTCTGAAAGAACAGTAATCCTATGTCGATCCTCTCCAACGATAACGTATGGCAATATAATCTGTGCCCATCGCTGGTTTGAAGTTGGTGGACATCATGTCACACAATGTCTCTCCTAATGCCTAAAGTTAATGCTGACCGGAAACAAGTGGTTGCCGGAGTAAAAATGCACCAGACGATCACCGTTGTCAGTTCTTTGGCATAAGATTCCGCAAATACCCCCTTGATGCCTCTCCGACTAGCTCAACTTTCCTACTTGAGTGTTAAAGTCACTTGCCATTATGACTGTATCTAAACGTGTTGCTTTCTGCGGCAACATTGATAACTTCTCATACAATTCATTCTTTGCATTATCCGAACTATAGTCGTTGGGTGCGTAGGCGGAGATTATGAATAGGCATTGGTTGGTCTCACAATCCTTCCTAGTTCTTACAGATCCATTGAGTCAAACAGCACATATACGGCTATTGGCTAGTATCCTTTCGAGAAATAAACTTCTTACTCTACAACTGAATGCTATGCCTACCCCAGCTAGTCCTCGAGAGCTAGCGGTTAAGTCTCCAACTACCCTTAACGTAAATTTTGAAGACTCACTACTATGGCTAGGCGAGGCCAATTTAATAACCACAATCGGGTCCTATTGACATGTCTTACAGACACAGGATACATTCATGACTCGAAGTTCTAGAGTTCTACCAAGAGATGTCTGTTATCCGATTTGGCTAGCCTTCAGACGTCAAACGATCCAATGTAATACCGATAATGGGGTCTTAAGAGACTAGGATGGTTTTTATCTTTGACAATAGTTGCACGCTTGAGATGTTGAGGAAGTTGTAAGAGGCTTAGTATTGATATCTGAAGGTGAAGATGAGGGAGGAAACAAAGGTAAGAAGGGTAGACTATGTTTGATGGGATTTTGTATGCTACTGAAAGCGTGCAGGTGATTGACACTTCGGCTGCCCAAACCGTAGAAGTTGTTCCTGCAGGGTATCTGGAAGAAAAAAAGATTTATTTGGCCGCAGAACCCAATGGACATCTGTTTGAGGCCTGACACAATTTGTGTGGCTTATTGCTCATTGCACGAAAGTGCACAAGGTTTCTGAGTAAATTGAGATTCGATTCAAAGTTTATGGAGTAACATGGAGAAAAGCATGCATCTTTATATCCGTGTACAGCGAAAATCTGCAGCTTGGTTGTGTAAACAAAAATGAATTATGTTCTAGATTAACTGGCTTTAACAGGCAGGTATTCTGAAGCGGCGTCATCAATCTAATCAAGAACTGAATACGCAGGTCAGCTATCTGGTCACAAAACCCCCATCTGACCTTTTACATCGCGAATTTCTGAGTCTTATGCTCTACAGTCTGTCAGTGCTGAACAGAAAGAAGCTGAGGCAATTCAGTGTCCATTCCAGTGTCTCATACAGAAGATATTCAGGAGTTTTTGACAAACATTCTACAGTTAACCCTGTTTCTATCCAGTTTTTGAGATGAATCACAAACAAACTTTCTTCGACCCATGAACTTAGCTTCAGCTTGTTCCGATAAGTTTAGTAATCTGTTACGTGAGACGGTAATCTCGAAATATTTAATGACAAACTGGGCTGGTTTACCTGATGATGTACTTGATTTGTGCAAAAAAGCCACTCTAACTAGATAACATCCGTATTTTTTAAACTTACGACGACAGACAAGATTTACCTTGTAGTTTCAACTCAGTTTGTGTATTAAATTTATCACGGTGAAAGTATTATTTACTGGATCACGTTTTGCATAAAATATAATGTTCGTATTCATATCAAGACAACTCCGCAAATTCGAGACATGGTTTACATAATTCTAGTTCTCTTTTCTCCTTTGATATATACGTAGTAGACTTATCCGTGTATCTAGAACATGTGTTGAGTTATTCTTGACTGTATGTATGTGGTATTGACTCGATAGAAGGCATCAAGAAAGACAAATAAGGAAGGAAGTAATCAAAAGTGGTAGATAGCCATGAAGGAGAACAGAGGGGGATAGAACAATAACGAGATGCAGTATAACGACAAGAATGATGTATGAATTCATCTGCACCACTGAGATTGGTCCTAGTCATATCACTTTCTGTCTTCAGTCACCGGTTTCTGATGTCAACCAGGAAGTCTATACTCTGCTAAATGACTCAGACCAACAGCCAGATTCCCCACAACCTAATATCATGTTTTAGTCTGGTTGCCTCTAACATTTTTCCAGCCTAAACCAGACCCAGCTAACATTACATGACGAGGCAGACTGGGAGTAAACATGCTTAATAACTTGCCCTAACCATTTGAGTCGTTGAACGTTTGCAACATTATCAACTGACTTACCTGTTTTACTCAATATTCTACCCCCCACTTCCGTGTTATTGACGTGGTGACACCAGGACATACGGCCTATACTACAGAGGCAATGGTGATCGGACACCTGAAACCTCATATCCTTCACCCTCAATATAGCCATGCTTCACAACTATGTGGTGGAAAAGAGCGCACTGAGGCACGTTACACTCAACTCTTAATAGACAATCGGTTATCACGCTGGCACCGTAAATGGTTTAATTTGATCAAAGCCAATCAATCCTTTTGTATTTATGCAGACTTCGTTGACCATTGACCCACTAGGGCTAATCCAATCTTTCGGGTAAGTGTAGTCAACGGACTTAGCCACTTCACCCCATATTGTTAGACAAAACACCATCGAAGACCAGTGCTGAAACAACAATCTGCACTCGAGTGGTAAAAAATGCCTCTCAAACGTTCTCAAATTGTCATTCAAGGTATCTAGTAGACTTTAAACCTTTTCAGCATCATCTAACAGGACAATGTCGTCTGTGTCCTCTAGATTTAGTTCCAGTCTTCTCTTTTCACGGCGTTCTTACTACGTCAAAATAAGAGTAAAACTTGAGCACTGTAGCAGAGTATAGTTGAAGTTGGAAAGTCATATGATTACACTGATATGAATATAATCGAATTCTAGTGGAAATGTCATCCAGTAAATAATACTGTATCACTGTGTAGTATGTCAATTAAGCAGTCCAACATGGAGTTTCTACCACTTTCTTCCATATTTTTATTTCATCTGGATATCTTTCACCTTGATATGCTTATATGAGGTGTGACAACTAGTATCATTATGTGACAAGTCCAGATCCTATGTTGATGTCTAGCTGACTACTACACATATTAAGATGTACTTTACTCAGAATTTTAATTACCTGAACTCTCGAGTGAGTCATCTAAAATTTGGTTTGAAAATATAATGACGACCTGCATGAAACTTCAGGTAATATAACTTTGTGATGCACACTGTCCAAATTGGCAATTATTTTCAAATACGGTGATTAAGGTGAAATGTTAATTGATTGCCTTAGTTTCATGGAGTTGTGGTGAATAGAATGCTGGATCTCTTTGGGAGGACAGGATCATTTTAGCTGTATTAGAATTGGTCTATGTAGTGCATGTGAAAATTAAAGTATAAGTCTTCTCTGAATTGTATTAAAAGTGCTGAATACTGTTGTCCTCCACTATAGTTTAGGTGCTAAAAGCACTCATCACATTTTCAAGTTGTAACACATTTGATCCTCATAATATATATGGACCAATGTGAAACCTCGCATTAAGTCATCGTTGAACGTTTCAGCAACTTGGAGGAAACCAACAGTCGGACTTGCTCTAGCTTTTCTGAAATTCAGTTGGTCACTAGGTCATTTCTTCTTATCCCAGCATCCACCAAGTAAAATAATTAATGTAGTCAACCATATCACTTTATTTTTCAATTAATTGTTGGCACTGATTACTTGTTTAGCGTTATTTTACACATAAAAGGTGAAAAACACTTTTGCCTCTTACTCAATCTTCATTGAGGTACATTTTGTCAGTATCTTAGCTGGTCTTTGTTGTCTGTGTCATGCTTCACCTGTGAAAATTCTGGGTTTGTGATTGGTCTTTGAGAGGTCCGTCCATAATTATATATATTTGTCACTTGGGTTCCTAGTGGAACAGAGTGCTTCAGTAGCACGTCACCATTTCACTCTCTTCTCTGCAGTCTTCATAACCTGGCTCCACGACTGCCTAGAAGCTTTCATTTCTTCCTCACACCATCTCCTCCATGTCACCATCAGACTCCCAACACGTCGTTTCCCATTTGGCTCCCACTGGAGGGCCTGGTATGGTATTCCGTAGTATTGAATCAGTTACCAAATTACTTGTCGGTCGACGCTGCCGAAGGCCTTTTCAAAGTGGATGAAGTTAATGTAGAGAGTTGACTGCCATTCTGCACTCTGTTCTATGATGATGTGTAGCGTTGTAGTTTGATCCGCACATGATTTTTTTCCTGAAGCCAGCCAGCCTGTTCCTGTGGTAATTTTGAATCGAGAACATTTTTTAGTCTCTCCAGGATGATTCGGCTTACTATTTTGCCTGTGGTGGACAGTAGCATGATTGCACACCAGTTCTGTGGGAGTTTGACAAGGTAGCCCTTCCTCCAATCTGCAGGTATCTTTCCCTTCTTCTTTGCAAACCTTCTAGAGTAGTGGTGTGAACATGTCCGCTGACGTTGATAATTAAGATGATTAGATACAAAGTAACAGAAAAACACTAGATATCCTAAACCTAAATAACAAGTCTACATGAATTTCCACGTACAGAGCTTTCAGTGAAATGTTATACCTGCTTGAAATCGCCTTGAGAGAAGAAACGGCCATGAAGCGTCTCAGCCTACACCATCAAATATAGCTAGATTCTAGCACCAGTAAGTATGCATGTGTATTATGATTTGTTGGAAAGTATGAGTTCCATTGATATAACCTCAAGCTGATTAACTCGAATAAAAATTTAAATCGTAAAACATGCATCCTACACAAGCTTCAACAGGTTTCATGGGAAACTAATACGTAATCAGTATCAGTTGAAACTAATTGTAATTCCTATTTGCGAAGGTCAATCTTGACAGGCTTCGTTTATTTGACATCGTATCCCTCTCAAGTTAACTTATCGTTATCAAACTGATTAAGGCATACAAAAACTTTACGTTCTAAAATGATATTATTGAAATCTGTATTCTAATTTAGTTTGTTCTTTTTCTTTACAGTGAACTTCCAATATTTACTTGTCAAGCTCATGTGTTTACAATCAATCCTCAAACAAAGAAATCATGGATCCCTTCAAGCAATAAAGCAGTTGATGTTAACTTCTTTTATGATTCCAACAAGCACTGCTACCGTATTATCAGTGTTGAAGATTCTTCTGGTTCGAAAAAGGTAATTATGAAAATGCCTAGTATTTACCACTGAATAATATGAATTGCAAGCAAACACACTGATCAACTACTTGTATATTCGTACCGGGTTCGAACTTGCAACTCATTTGTTGAAAGTTCACCGCATAAACTAGTGAAATACAACTGCGCAACATATGCTAATATATCATTCAATAATGCGAATAACTGGAGACTGCTTACATCAGTCAGTAGCCTTGACCAGTGAAATCTGAATGACCCTAATACCAAAGAGCTGTTTTCATCTCCTACAATCACAATCATCAGCTATGTATTGCGACAGATTCAACCCAGAGATTTCAACATATCAAACTACTTGGTTTTTCTGGTTCCTGATTGGAAATTTGCTTCATTAGGCATCTGACTTTCAACCAGTGGATCATACCTCTTCACATTACTTTTCCCGTTGATATTTAGGCAGATAATGTAATTTAAACCATTTTATAAGGTTGTGAACCACACTTAATGTGTAAAAGCTTATAAGAACACCGGATTACCCAGATCGAAGTAGACCAATCTTGGTTTAAGCTGAGAATCTAGTGCTTAAAAAGGCAGTATGTCAAGCACAATAGCCAAGTCTATGGTGTTGTTAGCCTTCACACTATAGGTTTTCTTATAGTCTATTCGTTTGATTAAAGAGCATTGTTGCTTGGCAGTAAAAGAGCGTCGATGAAGAGAGAATAGACTCTATTGACAGAATTTGATACATGAATGGAAAGTTTTCTGTCAGATTTCAGAATGGTATAGCAAAGTAATAGCTCTATCTTAATGGTGTTGCGTTTTCTGGATTCGATAATTTAACCACGAAGTTTTCATCTTATTTCTAGCCAGCATCATCCACATAAACTTCAAAACCTTCAGACGTTTATAATGCTGATGGTTCTTTAAAAGATAGTAATAGCCTTAGCTTGAAATCATTCAACTTCAAAATTACAACACTATCGAAATAAAATTCCTGAGGTCTAAGTTTTCTATGCGATTCTGTTTCATTTAGAAAGCAGTCATCTATGTAATAATTACTCCACTATGTAGATATGAGAGATAAGTACGCTTTGATAATATACTGATCTTAGTGACTAAAAAAGGAATCCAAGACGTGCTTTTTGTCCTACTTGGGATTTGTACATCCACCTCAGTGAGAGATATTGTTTCCATTGAGGCTGGAACCAGCTGACGAGTCTCAAATAAGACGAAACGTGCGTCCTGAATTCCTCTGCTGGTCACCAAGACCAAAATAACATCATGAATATCCAGCAGTATTGAAACAGCCGCATAGCATCCCATGTGTCAACAGACGTCGAGCAATTCGACCCTGTACAGTAACGCGAAATCACAAGTATCACAACAACACGCTTTGATAATTTGAAAATACTAAGATTAGTAAAAAGAAGAAGAACAGGAATTGCTTGTTGCTTGAATATAACTGTCAAAAATCAATCTTACGAAATGTGTATCGTCGTTTAGTGTGTACATATGTATGTAACCTCAATGTCAACCTTTCAATATCATCGCTTTTATGACATTAAACAATCGATCTATATTTACTACCTGCATAGATTTCAAGAATGACATGGAATCAACTGACTTCTAGGGATTAAACTTAGGCAAATTTCATTTTATAAGAATTTGAATAATTAATGGACAAATAAACCGTGAAATATAGAAAGTCATAGAATTAAAGTCAAAATACCGAGTCATTTAGGGGATTATTATGTTATTAAACTAATATAGGAACAGTATTATTGCTTGTACTATACATCCAGCTGACGAGTCCAGAATAGGACGAAATGCATATCCTGGATTCCACTGCTAGCCACTATCCATCATTACTATATACAATTAAAACAGGGAATATCGAGGCATCCGCACAAGAGTCTATATGCCATTAGAGACCGATTAATTCGGTCCAATCAACGACCATATAATACAAGCAATAATACTAAAACTATACTAGTCACACAAGAAGTGGCCAACATGGGTCGGTGGTCTAGTGGATAACGCTCAGGCCTTTGAAGCGATCGGTCCCGAGTTTGAATCCCGGTGGGAACAACATCACTTACTGGGAGGCAGGTACATCCAGCTAACGAGTCCTAAACAGGACATGATGTCCATCCTGGATTCCACTGCTGGACACTATCCACCATTACTATATAGTATAGGAACATTTCCATGCCTAAAGGTGATCGTAAAAAGAAAATATTTTATGCCATATACTTGTACATGCATACAACTCCAGTATGATGATTTCGATTGTAGTAGATTTAGTAACTTGAAGTGGTTTATTTCGAGTTGTATGTGGTAAATGGTTATGTATCTCTGAAAAAAAGTGAAATCCACAGCGATTGTTATCATTGCAGGTAAAATTAAATAAAATGTAAAATCTCTGACTGGCTCTGCTTAGGGACTTTTGAAAAAGCTATGAATTTTGTACGCATAATTTTCTCTGTATCAATCGAATTATTTTCGTTCAAGTCTCGTATTCACCAACTTAATCAACTTAAAAAGTACCTAAATGATGCGACTGAAATATTAACCCATGGATGGATAGAGAGATTTCAAATTTATGCTTCACAATCACAAAAACGAATATGTGCTATTAATATGATTTTAGGACTTGGGCACTGTGGTAGAATTTAATTTCATATTAGATTTGTTTATTTGATTTATAATACACAGTGATACAGTATGATTTAATTGATGACGTCTCAAGCATAAATTATTATCGCTCATAAACATATCAATTTAATCACTCAGCACTTTCCACATCTGATTTTTATAGTCCTGTCACCTCTTATTTTTCGTTTCTATTGGTAGCGAAATTTCCCTTATCTCTGGTACAGATAGGTGTTGCGTCATTTGTATTACATGTGTTGGGTTGGTTGATTCGATGAACAAAGATTCAGTAATCTATCTCTCTCTCTCCACCTAATCATATTGGACTTGAGTACAGTGGTTTTATCCCACCCTATTCTATTGTGTTGTTGTGTGTTAATGCATACATTGTAATAGCCGAGTTTTTTTCTGTCATTCTATATTCAGGTAAATGTTTGGCTATTCTAATTGACCCCGACCGGTTAGTTTGTCCTATGTACTTGACCTCATAGTCATTACGTGAAATCTGATAGATTAGATCATTTCGCTTAATTGGTTCTATCGTATCCTTAAGCCTATCTCTGAGTGAGTTTGTAGGTTTAAATGCCAGCCGTAATTTCAGTCTCGTTGAGGATCCTACGTAAATACCCCAACATATGAACGAGCAAAGTACTTAGCATGGATATTGTGTCCTATTAGGAACCGTTCAGATTCCAGACTAGTAAACTCTTATGAGTTAAAACCAAGGCCTAATGACCTACACGTAGAAGGGGATGAAAAAATGATTAGTTTAGATGTAACAAGTCTTTATACCAAAATACCGACCAATATGGCAATGGAGGCAGTCAGAAGTCAAATAAATATTGACTCAGATCCTACAGAACTAAGATATCGGCTGGTGAAATCATATTAGGCGTACAGTTGTGCTTGGTTGTATTGTGTTCTCTGAGCTGGGTTGTTTCATCGTGCCTTACCTCCACAGTCTTCAAGTTTCAGGACAAAATATACAGACAAACAGAAGGAGTAGCAATGGGCTCACCAATATCCCCAATGACAGCAGATATATTTATGGATAGTTGGGAAGACATGGCAACACAAATGTTTAATTCTACACCAAAATAAGGTGGTAATATGTGGATTACACACTTATTCTGTTGAAATCAATAATTTCCTCACACATAAACTCGGTAGTCGACGCAATCCAATTCACTTATGAAGTAGAAAATGAACAAGGAGAACTGCCTACGTTGGATTGCAAAATAAAACGAAGGATAGACGGTGGTTTGGATACTACCGTCTACAGAAAACCAACACATTCCAACAGGTATCTAGACTTCAAGTCATCTCATCCAATGTCAGTTAAGGCAGGTTTAGTCAGATGTCTAAGTGATAGGACTAGAAAACTGACTACTCAGTGCAAGAACCTAAATAAGGAATTGAAGCATATAAAAGAAGCACTAATAGTTAATAATTTTCTTCCATAGTTTATTAGGAAATTCGTACGAACACATAAGAAACGGAATGATAAAGGTAACACAAGTACGAATAATAAAGACAACACGAGTAGAAAGTTCTCAGCCTCCATTGTGCCATCCTATAAGGAAAACACATCAGAAACTTCACGTAGGATCCTCAACGAGACTGAAATTACGGCTGGCATTTAAACCTACAAACTCACTCAGAGATAGGCTTAAGGATACGATAGAACCAATTAAGCGAAATGATCTAATCTATCAAATTCCACGTAATGACTATGAGGTCAAGTACATAGGACAAACTAACCGGTCGGGGTCAATTAGAATAGCCGAACATAGGGATTTACCTGAATATAGAATGATAGACCCGAATAAGATAAATAATTTAGAAAAAAACTCGGCTATTACAATGCATGCATTAACACACACTACAGGCGGGACGGACGAGGACGTCAAAGTCAGAATCGGAAAAGCAAGACAGGTGTTCACTAGCCTGAAACCAGTGTGGAGATCTTCTGCACTCAGCATGCGGAACAAGATACGGATTTTCAACACCAACGTCAAGTCAGTGCTTCTGTATGGTTCAGAGACTTGGCGCGTCACGAAAGGGATTTCCAATAAACTACAGACATTCATCAACAACTGCTTACGCTCGCTACTGAAGATCAGATGGCCAGAAAGAATAAGCAACAAGGAACTCTGGGAACGAACCAACCAAGAACCTATCACGCAACAAATATGCAGGAGGAAGTGGAGATGGATTGGCCATGCACTGAGAAGGCCGACTGAGGACATCACGCGTCAGGCCCTCGAGTGGAATCCCCATGGGAAGCGACGAGTTGGGTGTCCGAGGTGAGGGTGACATGGAGGAGATCGTGCGAGGAGGAAATGAGAGGTTGTGGGCTGTCGTGGAACCAGGTTCAAAAGGTCTCAGAGAACAGAGGTCACTGGAGACGTGCTACTGAAGCCCTATGTTCCACTGGGAACCCAAGGGACTAATAATAAAAACCACTGTACTCAAGTCCAATATGATTAGGTGGAGAGAGAGAGATAGATTACTGAATCTTTGTTCATCGAATCAACTAACCCAACACATGTAATGCAAATGACGCAACACCTATCTGTACCAGAGATAAGGGAAATTTCGCTACCAATAGAAACGAAAAATAAGAGGTGACAGGATTATAAAAATCAGATGTGGAAAGTGCTGAGTGATTAAAATGATATGTTTATGAGCGACAATAATTTATGCTTGAGACGTCATCAAGTAAATCATACTGTACCACTGTGTATTATAAATCAAATAAACAAGTCTAGTGTGGAATATGTGTCAGTTTGGAAGTGCCCATCAATTGAACAATGATCATGTAACTGGAATAAATGTGGATTTATTTTCTCCAAAAGTTTACTCATTTTATATCATCAATAAAAATAAACTAGATCTCTAGAAAATATTCTTTAGAATAAAAATCAAATCGAAATTCTGTCAGCAACCACATACAACACGTTCACACAATAATCACCATGCTACACCAGTTGTATGAACGATCTCGCTAGGCCGAACAACGTTAAAACCTATAACCTGCTGATTGAAAGTCGAGTGTCCAGACCAATGAACAAAATAGTATTCACTAACCAAATTACGTATTTGTGCATTAAGCCTAAACTTACAACTCTCTGTGATAGTATAGCCCGATAAACTAGACTGAAGTTTGGATAACGTAATTACCAGACGTAGATTATCTGAAAAAATGTGTGATGTATTTGCGCTATATATTTCGAACAATGTGATCACATATTTACTTGTTAAGGCATTATATATATCATTAGAAAGACTTAACATCGTACAAAACAACATGAGGTTAACATATGAAGAAGAAAAAGAAAACCGTCTTCCGTTCTTGGATATACTCCTGAGTCGTGGAAATGGTGGATCAATAAAACGATCGATTCACGGGAAACTCACTTGGATATGTCAGCGATTAAGTTTCCATAGCTTTTTTTCAACGTAATACAAGCGAGGTTTGGTAACTTGCTTATTTAAAAGGATCCAACGTATTTGTATGCAAGACTCAATGGATGATGACATCAAAATACCAACTGAAATATTATTGGAAAACAGATATCTATTGAAGTTCATTTAATCTAATAGCAGAATGTTAAAACGAAGGTTAAGATCTGGCGTTAGCAAAACTTACTATGCAGCTAAGCTTATTGTAGTTGAGAAGACCAAACACCTACTGCAACACAGACCTCAACACTGTATAAACGATTGCGTCACATCCCACTGCGTTTATAAATTTACGTGTGTGTGTGGACAAACGTACATAGGGAGGACTAATCGTGATATGCACTTGAGGGTAGTAAAACATATACCAAAACCAGCTAGATTCACAAACATCGTTAAGCGCAGGTGGTAGACAACCATCATCCGCATCCATTGCAAAACATATCATTAATAAGGGTTACAGGATTGATATCAAAACAACCTTTACAATTTTGTATAGAAACTGTCAGAGTGGGGCGTATACTTAGGTTTGTTGAACCGTTAGCCATAAACAAATTTAACCCTTCCCCCTCGATTGTGTGCTTCACTTCCTCTTCTGCTTCTGTCTTGCTTTGCTCTTGATGCACCCTCATTATCTCTTGCGTTTCTCTGGCCAGAATCTTTACCCATTGCTGGTAATTCCCTATAATTTTTGCCGCTCTCTCAACATATACTACTTATATCCATTCTTATCAGCAACACCCATTACAGTAAGTCTGTGATGAGATTGTTCGAAATGCATAGCACGAATACATCACACACACATTTTCCAGATAATCTCCGTCTTCTAATTACGTTATCCAAATTCATAAACGTGACTAATTCTTAAACTGGAAATTGAGAATTGTTGATTTACAATCAGTTGCATAGACTAAAGAACCAATTAATTACAGATTTTATTAGTTCCATATATAATTTAACTGTTATATTTTGTTATTTGGCCATGTTATTATGTGTAATTTAGGTGATCATCAATAGTACATTGACAGAGAAGATGACTTTCAAAAAACTTCCCAAAAATTTGGACAATGGGCTGATTCGAAAACCGGTGGTGTACACGGTTTAGGTTTTAGCTCTGAAGCAGATTTGACTATGGTAAGTTGAAAATCTTCCATGAAATACATTTTATGGTGTTCGTCGTTCATTCGTTTAAATAGGCTATTTGAAGTAGTTATTTTGAATAATTGTTGAATGTAAATAGGCAGCGTTGATTACAGCAGAATTCTAGTTTAAAACCTATTTATAAGCTTGACTTTTTGACTTGATTAAGTTAGGAGACGACTCATAATCAAACCTGAATCTCACCTCAACAACCATCATGACAGTGAAAAAGAAAGCAATTGTACATTCTTCATCAAACTATCAACTCAGTCATCTTTTCTCATTCCTATATGGCTGTGAGACATGGCCTCTGAAAGTAGAAGATATGAAGAGGTTGCAAGTTTTTGACCACGGGTGTCATTATAGAGTTTCTCACACATGATGGAATCGTCATGTGAGCGATTTTGAAGTTTTCATTAAGATGCTAGATAAGGAAGGCAAGTCAATCGATAAAGTTCTGAACCTTGATTTACTGAGGTGGCTTGGACATACATCGAACATGCTGAGTCACCGCCTGCCTCGAAGTACAATCGTAGCCGAAGTAGGATTAGACTAGAAGAAGGCTAAGAGTAGATAAACAAAGACGTGGTACCAATCCATGTATTCTCTGACTATTGGTCTGAACTATATACGGAGAGTGTAGACCACCTTACTGGAGTTCGGGATTATACAAGAATAAATGGTTGGCAACTCTTGATATCTTGTCTAAAATCAGTCACAATTGTGCAAAGGTATGCCGTCTTTGTCATCTTCGAAGTCTTGAGTATTATCATTGTCATTCATGTATGTATTGTCTCTTCTCACACTGCTTTGTCTACCTTAATATCACTCTTTCTCTGCGCTACGATGAACTGTGGTAGTTTAAACCGATGCATTTCTGTACTGCATTCTTCATTGATTTGTCTATCTATCTGCCATTAGAATATGAATGCAGGAGAATCTAGCTATCGAGTTCGAACCCTGGTGTTGTTATTCAAACTTTGCAATTTCCTTTTACTTACTTAATCGTAATGACCGATCTCTATTGGAACTTTGATATCATCATGAGTGGATAAGTGTATGATTTTTGAAGGAATGAATGTGTGCATCTAATTTCGGTAGAGATAATAACATATTGAGGTGAACGTACATTCAGCAGATGAGCTTCATATAAGATGAAATGCACATCCTAAGCTTTTACTGTTGACCACCACCAAAAGGATAATACCATGAGATGTTGACTCTGATCTCAGTGTGTAGCTTGATTCATTCACATTTAGGATCATGACATATTTAATCGTGTATTGTCTATTAATACTTTGTATCTACTAAAAACTACATGAAGGGAAATTTGTTTTTACTAAGATCAATTAATAAATATTCCCACCATGGAATAGTAAGCAGTCTTGAATACACCTCAGTTAATGCCATACCCTTTAAAAATCTCGCCAACCTGCTAGACGTTTGTGTTTTCTAGATTATGAATTGAATCTATTTTGTGGCGGTTACAGATGATGTCCCATTTTTGGAGCATAAGTTGGTGACTTAGAGTTGAAGCAAACGTCTGGAGTTCTGTCCAAGATACTGAGTCACAACTGTAAAAATAATAAATTTTATGTTATTGGTTGGAATTCTGTTTCAAATATTCTATTGGGACAACGTTTACACAAAGCAGTTTATGCTTAATTTCTGTTTCGACCACGTTTCAACAATGCCTTGATGGGTCACTTCAGATTAGCCAACGTTAAGTTGTCTAATCGTAAACTTGGGTTCCATTTCCTAAGGATTCCAAGTGCGCCTTATTAATGAGTACAGACAAGCACTAAACCTGGTTTCACAGCTTTCCACTGATGGACGCAGCGTATCTACTAATCTAAACGGAATATTATGATTATCAAGTCTTATCCTTACACATGACTAAAATGTAATATGGAGACTATCACAAAGGTGCATCAGCTCAAGTTATTACAGTCAAAATCAACAAAACGAATGGAATTATTATTTCTTTGCATCTCCACGAGTATTTTCTTAACCTGACAGCTTGCTGTGACCACAATGAAGCACGAAAGTAACTTAAACATAAACTGAATAAGAGTCTTTGCAAAGATCGCGAGCAGTAGTGGGTGGTGAAAGTCAGAGGAATGGTGAAGGCATCAGCAGTGGGTAACACACAGCAACTATTTAGGCCTATCATGGATACCGACAAGAAGATGGTGGTGAGTGAAACCATCTCTGAAAAGTATAGGACGCTGATAACCTCCCAGGACGGGTGGCTACAACATTGGGCAGAACACTTTGAAGCACACTTCAACTGGACTCCAACAACACTTACCCAGCATCCAGCTCAAAAATAAATGGGACATAGATATTGATCCTCCGACTCTCCTTAAAGTCGAGAAAGCTGTATCGGATCTGAAACGATTGAAAGCACCAGAACCTTAAAGTTTGCCACCTGAAGTTTTCAAGGATGGAGGTAGAAAGTTATTGCTTTAGATGATGGAACTACTAGGTAGTCTATGGAAAACAGAGGTAGTGCCGTCAGACTGCTCTACTGCACTGACCATCCCAGTCTATGGGGAGAGAAGTATTCTTGTGATAACCATTGGGGAATCAGTTTGACTGCTGTATCCAAGATGCCATAGTTATCCGACGCCTAACTGTAGCTCGAAAACAGCAAACTAGACAAAACCAGACACGTTTCAGACCTGGACGGGGTGCATCGATCATATTTTTACCCTCCAACAGGTTCCGAAACACATGCGTACCTATCGACCAATGGCCAACACTGATCATGTTTGTAGACCTGAAGGCGACATTTGACTCAATCAACCATGAGGTGTTGTGGTAGTGTCTGACTGTGAAGGAAGTACCCAGCAAGTAGATAACGCTAATAAAAGTTCTCTACTCAAACTCACACAGCCGTGTTAGGATTTACGGAGAGTTGTCATCAAAATTAACAACAACAACTAACCCAAAGTTGCCCACTACCACCGTCCCTGTTTAACTTCGTCATAGACGTGCTAATAGACATAATACTAACTGCATCTGACTTCAAAAGAATTCATTGATGTAATCCCTCGAGATCATCTGGTTGACTTGGAGTATGCGGGCAACATTGTCCTGCTAATTGAAGATGCTGACGAAATGCAAGGTCTTCTACGCACGTTGACCAGAAATCTGAATATGTTTGGCATGCGTTTCGCTGGCACCTGTCAAATGTAAGGTGATGCTCCACAACTTGTCTCTAATTACTCCCAATTTAACAATAGGGAGTGAAATGATCCACGCATTCTACCACTTCACTTACTTGGAGAGTTGCATCAGCCCGAACGGACTGGTTGCTGACGAAGCCGCAGCTCGGAAAGAGAAGGCTTGTTTGGCATTTGCCAACTTGCGCCACCTGTGGCGCCAACTGGAGAGACATCCGACCACCAGTCAATAAACGAGTATACTGCGCTGCAGTCTGTTCTGTCCTGTTTTACGGTTGTGAGGTATGGCCATCGAAAATAGAAGACATGAAGCAGTTACAGGGTTTTAATCATAGGTGTCTTCATTGCTCACGTTTGATGGAATCGCAGTGTGAACAATGCTGAGGTGAAGCGAAGGGTACTAGGCAAGATAGACAAGTCTATCGATGAGATTGTGAACCTTTAGTCGACTGAGATGACTTGCACGTGTACTGCTTATTCCTAGCCATCACCTACCTTGACATGCCATGCTAGTTAGGCGAAGTTTGATTAGGTGGGAAGAGGGTTCAGGGTGGCCAAACCAAGACATGGCACCGGTCAATGAAGTCTCTGACTGTTAGTCTGAACCGTGTTGAGAGATGTGAACCGCTTGACAGGGGTTTCTGAGATGATAGGAATCAATAGATTAAGACTGTTAGTGACATGGCCGAAAATCGGTGATGGTGGCGCAGATGCATTCATTCTTTAACATCTAAAGCTTAAATATTCCTATCAAGCTTTATCTTCAAATTGTTTATCCTCTCATACAACTTTATCTACTTTGATATCACTCTTCTTCTATCCACCTGTCCTTTGTGTACTACTATAAAGTGTGACAACTTGAGTTAATGCACTTGTTTGGGAGGTTCTACGTTGATTTTGTCTTTCTGTCTATCTAAATTGACAGTGTAGCCAATGTTGCTTACCGTTACTTCATTTGATTTTATTCACTGTAGTTGCTCCGGCTCGCTATGTCCCAACTTCATCCAACCAGGTTGACTGAGAAAGAAAACAAGTGCAATCTGAACCCCAAAATGAACAAAAGTATATTTGTTCTGTGTAATGATTGCAGGTAATATGGAAATTTGGAACGTGACTGGATTCGAACCAGTGACCACCGGGTTACCGGCACGGTGCTCTACCAACTGAGCTACGAGGTCCGACTGCTGATCAGATTTTTATTCCACTTCAATCACCAAGGGTCCTGTCCGACTACCATATGAGTCCGTGACGCGTTACTACTCTCACACTGGCTGCCTAGTCAAGACTTCTCATCCCAATCCAAATCTAACTGAATTATCACCCAGTACAAATACTAGTCTGCCAAACTGCAGCTATCTTAGATAGTCAAATCATAATCAATATGATGCTCCCCCTCTCTGATTCAGTTAGATTTGGATTGGGATAAGAAGTCCTGAGTAGGCAGCCAGTGTGAATACGATCAATCGGTAGTAACGCGTCACGGACTCAAATGGCAGTCGGTCAAGACCCTTGGTGATTGAAGTGAAATAAAAATCTGATCAGCAGTCGGACCTCGTAGCTCAGTTGGTAGAGCACCGTGCCGGTAATCCGGTGGTCACTGGTTCGAATCCGGCCGTGGTCCAGATTTTCATCTCACCTTCAGTCATCACCCGGTACAAATACTAGTCTGACAAACTACGACTATCTTAGATAGTCAAATCATAAAAAATATATTGGACAGAATACTTTTAAAATGTAAAAGGTTTACAAAGTATAAGCGACCTAGTCAAAATGTCAACGAATTAAAACAAAAGATAGTGAAGTTAAGGTCACTCATTATTGATTAGTTTCTGTTGTCATTCACCTCGCGTATGTATGCGACAAAAATAGGGTTGATTACGTGAATTCACAAAGATGAATATTATTAGTTACTGAATAGCTAAATATTCAGGATTATGGGAAGATTAGGAGTAAATATATCTCTTGTATTGCATTGAGTTTTCACCAGTCATGCAACAAGTTCATCTGTCTTTCTTACAACAATGTGAAAGTGAACATTTCATTCAAAAACTCAAAGTCATAATCTGTAACTTCATGGATTTGTTTCATGCTGCTTTCTAATTATCTTAAAACTTCCAGTCTAGTTCCATTATAAGTAACATCACACATCGAGGTAGGTTGTCATCTACCATACGTAACTTATACCGAATTCCTACTTCTGTTAACTCAGGTTCACAAATGTATCAAATAATTTTAAACTCAGGCTTACGACATTTGGTGGATACATTCAGACTAATACATTAGATAATCCATCACATTTATGGTGAGAGGGTTGATGAAACTATTTGACTGTCCGAAATTTGGTAGGTAGAATTAGATTCAAACCCATGACTCACTGGTTGAAAGTTAAGCGCTTAATTTAATAAGCCATAGTTCAATTTCAACTAACTTACTCTTTGCTCTCAGTAACCTTGGTTTCTGGTAAATTTTACTCATTTTTTTCAGTTTACAATCCAAGAAAAGTATCCAAAGGGTTTTTCATAGCAGGTTGACATTAGCTGGAGAGTCATTGAAAACCTAGAAGCATCGAAAAACTGTTTCGTTCTATTTTGGGATTCATTCGCAGTGCACATCCAGCTACCCACTTGGAATAGAACTCTAAATCGTCCAGCTACTGGGTTGGGGCAAAGTGGTTCACATTTCTAGCTTCTACTAATTTGTGACATTTTACGATCATCATCTGATGTCATGGTTAATTGTCATCATATCCGACTTGAGTGACCCTAAAGGTGATAGTTTATCGCCATACCTTCGTGAAATCCATGTCGAACTAAGTCTCTAATGTATAGTTGGATGTATTATACCGTCGTTGATTGGACCGAATCGATCGGTCTCTATTGGTATATGAGCTCCGACACGGATGCCTGGATATTACCTGTGTTCTAATTATATTAATGATGGATAGTGGCTAGCAGTGGAATCCAGGATACGCACTTCGTCCTATTCTGGACTCGTCAGCTGGATGTACGTGCCTCCCAATGAGTGATGTTGTTCCCACCGGGATTCGGACTTGGAAGCGATCACTTCAAATGCCAGAGCGCTATCCACTACACCACTGCATCCTGGACTCCACTGCTAGCCACTATCGATCTTTGCCATAAGTCTCTAGTGAGCTATAAACTGCTAGATGACATAAAACACGGGATTCTGACCTATCGACTGAATAATACGATACTTTTCAAAAGATCTTACGGTTCTGAACTGTGTCCCTGCATTGTGTCACGCGTGCATACTACTCAGCAGTTCCAAACTAGTATGAAACAGCTGTTCTATATTTCTAGGTTTTCAGTGATTGCCTTACTGCTGCTAACCTATGATGCACACCTTGAAATCAATCCGGTTCTTCACAAATCTCCCAAATGAATAAAGTGAAGTTTAAATATCACACACAGACAGGGAAATGCGTGTTTGTGTGTATGGAAAAAGAAGGAGTGAAAGAGACATTAGACATTTCTAAAAATGTTGTCTGAAATGTCAGAATTTCTGTGCCGCCCCCCCACTCCCTCCGTGTATCTGTATGCTTGTTTATGTGAATTTATGTCCTGGTTTCTTTTTATTTTACATGAAGCCCTTTGCTTCACTTTAGCACATGTTTCTTACGAATATTACACATTCCCATTTAGCTCACAGGCAAAACCAACAGTTACTAACTCCTGAGGTATACTAGGATGGTGGTAGAATGCTCTTAGTCAGGTTAATGGAAGTATTAACTAGTATATAGGAATCAAATACGACCCCCTCTGACTGGTCTAAATCACTGAGTGTTCCAGTCTTCAAGAAAGGCGAGAAGTCGTCTTGCGATAGCCATGTAGAAGTCAGCCCGATGAAAATAGTGCCGAAGATTCTAGGTTCTATAATTCTTTGACACATGAGTGGACCTCAGGAACAGCAAGCCCGAGAAAACCAGGCAGGCTTTAGACCCGGCCATGGGTGTATCCACCAAATATTCACAGTGCCCCAGGTTTTTGAACACAGGCACGCTTATCGATGCCCGATACTAGTTGCGTTTCTCGACCTGAAGGCGGACGCATTCGAATCCGTTGGTCGAGATATCTTATGGCAATGTCTCTCACTGAAAGGCGTGCCGAGTAAGTACATCTTATTGAAGGCTCTCTACTCGAACACTTGTTGGCTTGTTAGAGCCTATAGTGAGATGTCCGGTAGAGTTATGCTCATCGAGGTGTGTCCGTCAAGACTGCCTACTGTCTCCATTCTTATTCAATGTTATGATAGATATTCTTATGCAGGTCTCCCTCACATCACCTGGCTACACAGAGGTTGACCTAATCGCGGGAAAATTTTCGTTAGACCTAGAATACGCAGATGGCATAGTCCTGTTAGGTGAAGACGCTGACAAGGAGTAGAGTCTTCTGGACGCTTTGAGTGGAAATTTGAGAATGTTTGAGATGTGTTTTTCACCATCCAAATGCAAATTGTTGTTCCAGGATTGGTCTTCAGCAGTGCCGTGGCCAACAATAGAGAGTGTAGTGATTGAGTGTATCGACCACTTAATTTACCTGGGAGTAGAATCAGCCCTGGTGCGTTGATCAGTGGCCGATGAAATCTCTGCACGAATACAAAAGGCTCAGCTGGCTTTTACCAACTTACGCCACCCGTGGCGCCGCCATGATATCTGATTGTCTGTTAAGGGTGGCGTGTACTGCACCTGGACAGCAGTTCGGTCTGTTCTACTGTATGGCAGTGAAGCATGACTATTGAAGATGGAGGACATGAGAAGGCTGGCTTTAGGTGTTTGACCACCGTTGCCTTCTTAGTATAGGCCGTATTCCATGGTGTCACCACATGAGTAACTCAGATGTCAGGTGTAGAGAGAGTTTTAGGGATAAGAGGTGAATCAGTTGACGATGTTGTGAACCTTCATCGACTGAGATGGCTGACTGGGACGCGTGTTGCATATGTCTAGTTGCCGTCTGCCTCGTCGTGTAACGTTGGTGGAAGTGGGTTGAGGCTGGTAAAAGGCTCGGTTGGTTGGGCGACGGAGTAAAACATGGTATGAATGTATGAAGTGTCTGACTGTTGGTTCGAGTTATGTGGGGCGATGCAGACTAGGTGGTTGGGGTTGGCGGAACAAGAGGAGCCAGTGGTTGTAGACTGACTCTATGTGATGACACGGCTGAGAACCGATGTCAGTGGTGCATATATATATATATATATATATATATATATATATATATATATATATATATAATCCTCATCTAAACGACGCAATACCGAACCTCACCATTTTCTCATTCTTCCTTTCTCTCTTATCGTACTTTGTATTTCTTTTGAGTGGATTTTCTTTTCTTCATCTTGCACGTCACTGCCTTGTTTACTTGATGTAGTGATATGAGATGTGTCAACTCGGACTGTTATGCAGTAATGCCTGGTCCTATGTTGATTTGGATGAATGGATGCAGTCCATTAACTGAGTAAAATGTTTGTTGGTTGTTTAGTAGTTTGGTGAAAGTAGTTCGACAATTTAAGGGGACTTTCTTCCAATTTTTTTATTAATCCCATACGAATATTTTAAAATCTGATGGAAATTAGCAACTACATCTCTATGCGTGCGATAAACTATGAGTCATACCAGTTTTTTGAGAATTAATGATTTTAAAAGATAGTCTTGACTTCTTTTAGTAGAAAGTTGGACTCGAACTCATAATCGGATGCATGAAATTTAATTCTCTAAACCTGTAATATCCGAGATAGTGTAATTCAAAGTCGCTTACATGCGCATATTATTGTACATATAATTAAACTATTATGAATACAATCAATCTTCTCACCACCGTTTACAAACTTGGCTTTTCTTTTACTTCATCTTTTTTTTTATCAAGTTTGTCAATCAGTTTAAGCAATGCGTTGACTCTATGAAAAATCAAGTTCCATCAGAATTGAATGGTTCTTCAGGTATTCGTGTACCAGTAAGTTTTCTGTGGAAAAAAGATTCTTTTATTGGTCTTCTGTTTTTCTACATTAATTTTTGATATGATTTGCTCAATATGATTATGTCCTCTCTTTGTTATGCATGATAGCAAAAGATGCGAATTGATTCGAGATAAATCATAATGTGATCAGGTGATATCTGTATACAGGAGATTAAATGGTTCGGGATAAATTCATCCGTCACTTCCAGGTTACCGTTTGTCTTTGATTTTGAAATTCACTGCTGTTAAAAGGCAAAGTCAGTGAGGTGCTTGAATGCTTAATCAGATATACAAAGTAAGCTTCATCTACTGCATACCTGAAATTAGTGATCAGCTTATAAAAACCTATATAAAAATATTTAGAAACAGTAATAATTCATCTGATAGGTCCATCTAATTATATAATCTTTTTAACTAGACCCTTCTTTACCGCCAGCCGGTTTAAACAAAATTTTATTGATAATCTGCCTTTGTTGATGAGACTCTTCTAGACAACTGTAGCTCGGCAGACTAATATTATCTTTACGGGATGATGATTGAAAGTGGAATTGAGGTTTGAGTCACGTCAGGACTCGAATCAACCCAGTAAGACCTTCGGCAGTTAAAATGAAGTTGAAATGTGGTCACTTCCTGGGTCTCACAACTCAGTTGGTAAACCGAGTCGAAACCTTATGTACTTTCGTGCAGTAAGCAATCAGCCACACTTACTATTTGAAGGCTAATGATACAACCTCTCTTCCTGAACATTGTGAGGGGGTGAAGTGTTCGAACTTGTTAACTGCTGGTTGAAAGTCAACTCCTTAAAGCAATGGACCACATGCCATCTAGAGTTTCCAACCACCGTTATCTATCGTCATGCGGACCCCAACGCCAACTAGGTTATCATTCAACGATCAGTAGTCTCCAGGTGTCGATTGACAACTATTTACCAAGTGAGTTTAGCTCTGTTAGTGTTTATATTACTTTTCCTCAGTTTCCTTCCGAACATAACGTATACCTGAAACCTCCTAAAATGTCTTATTAAATTTACGTGGATATCTGCATGTCTAACTATACTATGCTACTCACTGTTATCTGACTGCATTCTTTTTACCTATATATGCATTGGTTAGTCACTTCAGAGCTGACCGAATTCCATCGCAGAGCACTGTCGATGGATATTAGCTAATTGGAGGTGATCAACAGAAAGCTGTGCATTACCTGGGTTCCATTCTTGTTGACACTCGTCAACAGGACGTACGTGCAACCTCGAGGTGACCAATATCCCCTGTGGGATTCGAACCCGCTTCATGCAGTCTTTTACAGTCAGCGAGCTTACCACTGAGTAACTTTTTTGCATTTCACTTTTTAACCAGCTGATTAAAAACGTGTAGAACAAAATGATTTCATGCTGTTTTGCTGCAATCCCTGCTCATTTCCTCTCTTGTATGTTTAGTAAAATAGAATTGATGCTTCTGCGCAAAATACAAAACCTGGGATAACATTAGATAGCTAGTAAAAACTAGGTAGCCCAAGACAAAAAAGAAGTTCACTGAGCAGCCAAAGAATTCTTCACCTCTACAGGCTAAGGCTTACATCTTTATGTAATACGAATTTTTTTAATCTCCTTCAGTCCTCCAAGTAATGTAAGGTTACAGTATTCAGTACAACCTTACAGATTATTCCTGTTTCTTCATTAAACCCTATCCCACATGGCCATTTGAAGCCTAACATTGTTACATTGAAGCCTTGTGGTTTCTATTTCAATCCTTGAACTGCAACATTATGGATCGGTTTTTCTGAGGTATCTCAAAAATTAACAAAGAAAAACTTTTTGCTACCTTAGGATTTCTAGTGAGTGCTTAGAATCACACTTCTTTAACCGCAGCACACAAGAATAATATTCGGGGTTGAAGAATACCCTGAATTGCAATAGGATTTAGTGAAGTGGAGTAGTTGTTTAAGCACTTTACTTTCAAGCGTTGGACCTTGAGTTCGAACCCCGTTCTGCCTGGTGTGGACAGTATTGCAAGCCCTTGCATAGTCTAGTACATAGAACACACCAAGTTGAATTGCGTTATATTGCATTTCGGTACAGTATTGGTGCTCACTGCCTCGAATCCAATCATAACCTAGAATTCTTCTGAACTTCACTCATCAACTCGTCTACCAACCAAGGTCATTTCAAATAGTTTAAGTAACCATACCAAAAAATGTCCAAACCTAATGACCTTGAAAGTGAAAATCCATTGATTAGGTGTTGATGAATCAGAAGGTAAAACCTTTTTACTAAACATTTTATTATACTGTAGAGGAAAAAAAATCTCTAGATAATTTTGAATGGCAACTGTTCATATAACATCACTTTGATAAATTGACAGTACTATTCACAACTGATATTTTTCATGGTATGAAATTTAAGCTACTCATTAACTTACTCTTTGCTTAATTGTGTTTAAAAACGCTTTAGATCAGTTCATTATTTCATTCTCTACATCTAGCTAAAAATGCGTAAAAGTTTAGAAGAATGGATTTATAAACATTTAATTAGGTGTAAGGTAGATAAAATTGTTCTTATGGAACATTCACTTTCAAATTTTGTTCAATCGTCAAGTATTGTAACATTGAATCTTGATCACGATAAAAGAGTGTAGCGTATGTTGACTTTGAGCGTTGAGAAATGTTCAAAGTGATGAGTTATTAAAATGAAATTCAACTACTTGTATGGCTGCTTTAATAAATAAAGAAACATAATATATAGCCGTCTATCATAAAAACCAAGTGTTATGCACAAAGTATTTCATATTTACTATTAGTATTATTACCGTTTATTGATTTAATAACCAAACATAGTTAAGTCATATGATGTTTAATATTTCCGTATCGTATCACACCATATTATATACACTAAATTTGTGAACATTTTGTCGCTTAAACGTTTTTTTCCTCGTATATTATAATATACCATTCCTTGATATTTCCATACTATGGATTATATGTTTAAACGGGATAAATATTTTAATTTAGACCAATATTTATGTCAATTAAAACAGTTTACATCATGAATCGATATCAGTTGGCGAACCACTGCGAAATCTAGTATCACTGAAAAACTGTTTCATCGTAGTTTGGGAATTCTCAGCGGTACGTATCCACAACTTTGCAAGGCATTGAGCGTAAGACCGTCAAGTCTCATGGTGAGTACGTGACAAACATGTTGAAATTCAATGTTCCACCAATTCATACTTCTGTTAATTCGTGAAATAGTGTGACCATCATCTGATGACCTTGGGTTTTCATTGGTTCTGCAATTGATGTCAACCCGTGATGGAAACTAGTTTCAAAACAATTAATCTCTAAAAATCACCAACTGAATAAATATGCATATGAATGGTCTTGTTTAACAGATGGATCGAAGTTTCGATCCAACCCCGACTGTCATCAAGGCCTGTTTACTAACAAAAACTATTTTAGATCCATGGTGAGGTTGTAGGTTCGCACTGCTGTGGAGTCACAGACTGGGGCAAAACAGTCGTTCACTGCCCTGAGATTTTCTCTATTCCTCCAACTGATGTCATCCCTTGAAACTAACTAGTCCACACAAACCTCTAAACTGAGCTACTCGAGTTAGTTGCTGCATTTCATTCTGCTTAGTTTAGATTGAAGTGTATCTTGCATCTAGCTAATGTGATCAATTACTAACAGACTAGCTGATCACTAACCCGTGTGATAACCACGTAAAGTACCCGGTAATTAGAGTGAAATCAAAGCTTGTACACTAGTTTAGTCTCTGCTGAGTTTGCGGAGTGATTCACAAGCGACTCAACGGCCACCATTTGAAATTGCGTTGCGACCAATGCTGCTCACAGGAGATAGGCGACAGTAAAATCTGTCTATGGTCTGCTGGAATGCTTATCAAAGCTCTCTACTCGAACTCACGCATCAGTGTAAGGGCTTACTGAGAATTGTCATGATAATTGACGACAACTAGTGGTATCCGCCAGGGATACCCACTGTCACTGTTCCTATTTAGCTTTATCATAAACTTACTATTGGACATAATATTAGGTACGTCTGACTTCACAAGAATTCACTGATCTAATCGCTTGAGATCATCTGGTTGACTTAGAGTATGAAGACGATATTATCCTGATGGGTGAAGATGCTGACAAAATGACAAAACACACATTGAGCAAAAATCCGAATATGTTTGGCATGCGTTTTGCTGGCATCTGTCAAATATAAGACGATGCTCCAGGACTAATCTGCTTCAAGTACTCCCGCTTTAATGATAGATGGTGAAGTGGTGGAATGTGTTGACCGCTTCACTTACTTGGAAAGTTGTATCAGCCCGAACGGACTGGTTGATGACGAAACCATAACTCGGATAGAGAAGGCTTGTTTGGCATTTGTCAACTTATGTCACCTGTGGCGCTAACTGGCGAGGTATCCGACTATCAATCAATGGACAAGGATACTGCGCTGCAGTCTATTCTATCCTGTTGTACGGCTGTGAGACATGGATGTTGGAAGTAGAAGAAGAGTCGGCTGCAGGGTTCTGGTCACAAATTTATTTGTAGCATTGCTCGTTTTTGATGGAATCACAGTGTGAGCTGTGTTGAGGTGAGGCAAAGGGTACTCGGAAAAACAGACAAGACGATTGACAAAGTTGTGAACCTTAGTCGATTGAGATGACTTGGACACATACTTCTTATTCTGAGCCACCGCCTACCTGGTCATGCCAACTAGTTAGGGGGAGTTGGACTAGGTTATAAATAGGGTTCAGAGTGGCTAAACTAGGACATGGCGCTAGTCTATGTAGTCTCTGATTGTTGGTGTGAACCGTATTAGGAGATGTAGGCGTCTCCGAGACAAAAGAATCAGTGGTTAAAGAATCTTGGAGTCAAGGCTGAAAGTTGGTGACAGTGGCGCAACGTACTCACTCCTTGACATCTAAAGTTTGAATATTTTCACTAACCTTCATCTTCAAATTGTTCATTCTCTCACACAACTTCGTC